GATAAACGCGCTGCAGTCCAAGCACCGCTGCGGTGAGGGAGAAGCCCGTGCCATTTGCGGTAAGGTGCAGGCCAAGCTGCTCAGGGAGTGTCACGATCCCGCTCGGACGTGCATCACCGACCTGCGGATTTCGCACTGGGAGGAGGCGATCCAAGAGACGATCGGAGGGGAGGCGAACCGAAACCTGGCCGCCGAGTGCTATTTCCTGTGGAAAACCACCCGCCTCCAGCACCTCACCCTGGCCGAGGACACGCGGGGCATGCTCACCGAGCTGCGGAAAGGGGTCCGTTTGCTGCTTTTAACTAACGGCGACAGACAGACGCAGAGGGAGAAGATTGAGGCGTGCGCCTGTCAGCCCTACTTCGATGCCATCGTCGTGGGGGGAGAGCAGAAAGAAGAGAAACCGGCGCCATCCATATTTCATTACTGTTGTGATCTCCTGGGGGTGCAGCCCGCAGAGTGTGTTATGGTTGGTGACTCTCTAGATACAGATATTCAAGGAGGCCTGAATGCTGGCTTGAAAGCAACTGTCTGGCTAAACAAAGCAGCGATTACCCCAGTAGATACCTCCCCAGTACCTCACTATATTATTTCTTCTGTTCTGGATCTTCCAGCAGTTTTACAGAAGATGGAGCACAAAATTAATGCTAACTCAGGAACTGACCATATGGCTAGTAGTAATGAAGCGCATTGATGGTTCCAGCATACAATCAGAGACGTGCTGAGCTGTTAGATGACTCACGCTCTGTTAAAAAATCTGACCCTAGGATTTTGAACTTATGTATGGTATGCTTTCTTAAACAGCAGGTGGATGAATAAGGGCACAGTTGTCAGTGAAAACAGGATAGAAACGAAGATTAGTTTAAAAGATGGAAGTGCAGTTAATGTAAAACAACTGCCTCTGGAAATTATTTTGACAGACTATGGCTAAAGTCTGTCTGTCTCTGACCTAAGTTGCCAGTCTCTTGTTTTTATAGTGGAAAAGAACATTTGAATGTTCTGATCTTTCACATGCTTTGCTGACTTGTAAGTTTAGCAGAAGCCTCAGTTCAAACCTTGTTTGCAGTGTGTAAAAGAA